ATTATGAAGCTTACAATAATATTCAACCAAATCAAAATGTTGAATCTGAACAAAGTATTGAATTTGAACAAACTATTAAATCTGAACAAAGTATTAAATCTGAATATAGTGTTGAATCTGAACAAATCATTGAAACTGAACAGAATATTGAATCTGAACAATGAAATCAAAACACTATATTACTTCAAAGTATTGAGTTAAATCAAAATACTGAACAAAATCAATTAATTGAGTCACATCAACATCAAGCTATTGAATTGAATTATGATATTGAGTTGAATCAAGTTATTGAATCAAATCAAACTATTGAATTGAATCAAACCATTGAATTGAATCAAACTATTGAATCGAATCAAACTATTGAATTGACTCAACAAGTTATATATTATTTATTTTTATATATCTACTTTTTTTATATTGCTAACTAATAATATAATTTAAAATTGTGAATTAAACTTTAACTCAAACGAAAACAACAATAATAATATTATAAATACTACAACTATTATTAATCAAAGCATTAAGATAAATTTTATAACTCTATATACAAAATTACATAAAATAACAATAATATTAACATATAATAATTAATAACTAGGATCAAATTATGCATCATGAGAAACATAATACAAAAAAAATAAAGAAAATACACCACCAACATTACATGAAATTTATCGTAATCCAGCAGCTAAATATGTACAAAAAGAGGTACAAAAAATAAAAAAACAATTAGAAAAATGAAATAAAAAAAGAAATATTAGTAGTCTTTTACAAAATGGTGCATATATTAAAATTCGGGTTCTACCAATTGATCGAAAAAGTACAGATCGCAAAGCTCTTCCATGCAAGATTGTTGAAGTTTTACCAAATGATTTGTATCATCTTGGTTGCACTACAGGAATAATCAACAAGTGTTATTCAGCAAATGAATTGGAATTAATAGGATCACAAGAGTTTATTGAACTTGAAGACATACCTACCATTTCAGTTGGTGTTCACGAAGCTGCACTTGCACAATCAGCATCAACTATTATTGACATTCGCTCTAATTGTCATACAAAATGTGACCAAAATCATTGTAAATGTAAGAAAGCTGGTATTGTCTGTAAATCAAATTGTCATCCTAGTAATAATTGTTGTGTAAATCATGACGAATAACATTTTATATACTAAGAGATAGGTTAAATTTGCACATTCTGTTAAGCTTGTTAGTATTTTGCAAAAGATAGCTTTCTGTAATTACAGGCATTTGTTTGTATTGTACAAATTAAAACTTAATATAATTTTTTTTTACAAATATAATTTTAAGTTAATGCAAATTTAAATTTAACGTACTTGTTATATTAATTTTATATTTACATGGGCAAATTTTAATTGGGAGTTAATATAATATTAACTTAAAATTTTAACTTAATATAAGTCAATTTAGAGTTGATGACTATTGAGCTTTAACACACAACATATATATGTTTTCACACAAACTAAACACACTAAACATTGGGTTTTCCATATACTAATTAATCAAAACTATGTAAGGTGCATTAACAATGATATTATAGTTAGATTTTATATATAAAAATTGATCAGCAAAATCACAAAAATTTATTAACGAAAGATTAGTGCTCAAAAAATCAGTTCACCTCATGTAGAATCGATTTTTTTATCGTAATTTTTGTGACAGACAACTCTTAAAGCATAAATAAAACAAGCTATAGTTTAAAATTTTTAGTCAGTTAGACATTTTTAAGCATTTCATTAGCGAAAATTTGTCTTTTGTTCTTATTCACGTTTTCTAACCAGAAAAAATTATGTTTGTTGATGATTTGGCCTTTGTTATTAAAAATCTGGCCCTATAGTTTTAAAATAAAGCTTATTATCATATTATATATCGAATTTTATCAAAAAATTCGGGCTAGTTTTAGTGTTGAACTCTTTTAAAGTATGGCTTTTGTTGCAAATACATATAGCAGTACATTTAACTAAACAAAAATAAGTGTTTGTCACAAATTGACTTTTGTAATCATACTTGTTTTGAATTGGCCTTTGTAACCACATTTGTTAGAATTGACTTTTTGTAATTGCATTTGTTACTTTTATAATTGTTATAATATTGTTAAGTTATTAAAAAATAAGTAATTGTTTCAAATTAGCTTTTGTAAATAAAAATTTAAAAATGCGTTAAAGCGAATTTCAAAAATTTTTGTAAATTGTAATTTTTAATATCGAATTCTCTTTGCATAATGCCTAACCCTTCAAAATGTCAACTTCATCTTAAACATGCACGTAAATCGCTCAACAAAAAATGCAAACTAAATTAGCGTCAAGAAACTATTAATGAAATAACAGATCACTTAAAAAAATCTACTGATCAAGGACTTAAAATAATCTATGATATGATCTTTAATGATTTGAATATTAAATCTGATTCTTCTAAAGCATATAATGTAATAGTTGATACTCTTAAAGACATGTCTTAGATGGATCTCAAATCGACATTACATCTTTTGTATACAATGAGATATCTGCATAGAAAAAATAAATATCAAATTATATCATGCTATATGCAAAACAAAGCAATTCAATATGTCTCCAAATTCCTTTATAAGCCCGGAAGACATTAGAAGCATTAAATAATAAAAACAAACAACTTAAAAAAGAAAATAAAAAGTTACAACAATCTAAAGATTGTGCAACCCATAAAGTTAGACAACTTAGCGGTTCTATTATGCAGTTTAAACGTAAACATCGCCATCATATATTTCGAATTCGTGTAGTAACCAATGTCTACCAGAATTAAAAGACAATGATTTAAAAACTATAATTAGTAATTTAATAAAACAAAATAAAAAGGAATATAATAAAGATTTTGTTAATCTTACCATACAAGTTTCTCAAATCAGTCAAATGTCTTTTAATACTGAGGCAGAAAGTATAAAGACAGTTTTTAATTTTTTAACAGGAGATAATACTCAGTCACTTGGTATAAATACTATCAGCCATTGGCATCATAAAGTGTCTGAACTGCATGTAAGAAATATATTTCAACAAGCTAACTAATCATTTCATTTTTCATTTGAAATCATGGCAGATGAGTCGGGTCAGGTGAAAAAAAATATTAGTAGAATGTTTTATGTTTTGGAATTCAGAAAAAAATATATCAACATTTTACTCTTAGAAACAAAAGACCTTCAGCGCTGCAATTCTGATACAGTTAGTCAGACTATTTTTGAATCTTGTAAAAAATATAACCTTGATACTAGGAGATGTCTTACCTTTCTCTCTGATAATATCAATTATATGAGTAGCCATGCCAGAGGCACTGTAGCAAAATTTAATAAATTGGCCCAAAGTAATTGTGTTTGAATTTCCTGTGGATTGCACGTATTATATTTAGTTTTGAATAATTTCGAAGAGACAGCCTTCGGTAAACTTTTAACAAATACTGGATTTTCAAAGACATGCTATCCATTTAATCTTCTTTATCTGACATGGATGTTGCATGACAGATATGATCAAAGTGATAAGGACTTGCCACTAAATATGAGAAGTGAAACAATTCAAAGTCTTTATAAGGCATGGCTTAATTACATATTAACTAAATATCAACATTCCTATGATCGCGATGGCAATATGAATTAATTATAGCAGAACAATACCTTGAGAGACGTGAAATTCATCTTGAATTTGTTTCATGGTTTTTTCCAAAACTTAAAACGTTAAAAAAAGTTCCAAAGTCCTATATACAAAAGTGGAAACTTTTTCAAAATTGGTTAATCGATTTTGAACTAAACATTGAAGTTCAATATTTAGTTAAGTTTGGTCAAGAATTTTATCGTCCTTTTGCAGAATTTCTCATTGGTTATGATCCACAATTAAAAGTTTTACAGCCTGATAATTCATTACAATGTTTGCCTTCAGGTCGTTGAGCATATTAAATGCCGGACTTCATCATTAATTCAACATATAAACTCGCAAATATTATAGAAAATCTTTACTTATTTTTCAAAGGCAAACTTTTACAAAGTATGGAAATTTTAGATAATTCAAAAATTGAATTATTGGTCCAAAAGTTGGAAAATGGAATATAGAAAGGGCTTGAATTGCATCAAAAATGATTAAATTGTTGGCTCCACCTTCCTTTGAGTATGTGCCATCTTGGTAGAACTAATGCACGACAATTTGCATGCAGTTATTGGCACGTCGTACTTAAAAAACCTTGGCCCAAGTTTCCTACTTTAAAAGAACTTAGTTATGCGTGATTTCTTGAAATAGACATAAATCAAGAAAGATTCGATGACTTCAGACTTAAAACTGCTTTAGCTGAAAAATCTTTTTTTCACGAATTTAGTGTATTTGTTAAAGAATCAAATATTCAACTTCACCAATACCCTCAGCTCTACGATTTTTGTTAAAAACAAAATCTGGTATATTATCATCCATCAGCAACAGGTTGAGAGCCTATTCAACAAATGGGACATAAAAACTCATCCAAAAATGACTAATAATACTCAACAATCAAAAATGCGATTTTCAGCAACCAAAATAAAAGAATATCAGTTTAATCATAAACAACTTAAAGATATTTGAAGTGAAAATAGAATTATATACCAACAAAATTCTATCACTTCTCATCAGTCGGATAGACAGGATGCTGACGACCTTTTTAAAGAATTATTTATATCTCGCTAAAGTTATAATTTCTAAAATTTGAAAAAGTTATTATATTATGATTCATTATAAGGGGTCATCCATAATTTACGTAAACATATAATACATAAGTAGACACCATATATCAGTCGATCAATATGTCACATGTTAGAATTTTTAATAGTGGGTCAAATGATTGACGCACCCAAATTTTATAAG